CCCACCACGATATGCCACAGCACGCCATGGTATATCTCAGCACGTCGTGGCACATCAGAGCGCACCATGGTACGTCATAGCCCACCACGATATGCCACAGCACGCCATGGTATATCTCAGCACACCGTGAGAGATATCACCATTGATCAGAGCGCACCATGGTACGTCATAGCCCACCACGATATGCCACAGCACGCCATGGTATATCTCAGCACACCGTGAGAGATATCACCATTGATCAGAGCGCACCATGGTACGTCATAGCCCACCACGATATGCCACAGCACGCCATGGTATATCTCAGCACACCGTGAGAGATATCACCATTGATCAGAGCGCACCATGGTACGTCATCGCCCACCACGATATGCCACAGCACGCCATGGTATATCTCAGCACACCGAGAGAGATATCACCATTGATCAGAGCGCACCATGGCACATCAGCGCCGGCCGTCTTATACAAAAGCACACTGCACAATCCCGCGAGGGAACACCGGGATCTCTCCCCGGAACATGCACGTACCCGTAGTTAGACGGGAAGAAGCATTCCGGCGGCGGACGGGCATCTATCCCGGTGACGTTCACCGGATGCCAGCAGCATCCCCTCTCGACGCACGTCGCCTCGCTGACGTCGCCCTCTGGCGCGCAGTCGACGCGGTCGTCGTAGCCTCGCGTCTCGTTCGCTAGAGGGCACTGCGGCGTCGCGTAGCCCTTGTAATAAAGCGTGTAGTAGAGCGTCGGTACGAGGATGACGACGAGCGCCAGCAGCAGGAGGAAGACAACGAGGAAGGCGACCACAGATGGCTTCATGATTGTAGGCGCGAACAAACCTCACAGCTAGGTGTCAACGACAGGTCACGGTGACAGGTATGCGTGAACGACAGGTCACGGTGTCAATGACAAGTCACAGTTGTGAGACTGTGTCAATGACAGGTCACAGTCACGCAGGCTCCACTCACTGCTACCACTGACGCAGACACCACACGCTGCTAACTCTGACGCAGGTTTCATGCACTGCTAACTGTGACGCAGAAACCACACACGGCTGACGCTGACGCAGGCTCCGCACGTTACTGACGCTGACGCGGTCTTCGCGCACTGCTGACGCTGATGCAGGCTCTACACACTACTGACGCTGACGCAAGTTCGGCACGTTACTGACGCTGACGCAGGCTCCACACACTGCTGACGCAGACCCCACGCACTGTTGACGCTGACGCAGGCTCCACACACTACTGACGCTGACGCAGGTTCTACACGCTGCTGACCCTGACGCAAGTTCTACACACTGCTGACGCAGACTCAACGCACTGCTAACGCTGACGCAGACACCACACACTGCCGAATGCTCTGCATCCACCGCTTACTTCACTTTGATGAAACCGGATAGCTGAGTGCGCGTACACGGCTGCAGCCAATCCTGGAAGCCCGCACGGTCTGTGTCTGGTGCGCGCTGCCGGGCAGCGTGTGCGAGTGTGTATCCTCCACCTCTCTCTCTCTCTCTCTCTCTCTCTCTCTCTCTCTCTCTCTCTCTCTCGCTCTCTCTCTCTCTCTCTCTCTCTC